CACCTCTGGTCTGTGTAGCTCAGTTGGTGTATGCACCTGTCTCATGAGCAGGAGGTTCTGGGTTCCTCCTTCTGGCTCTACCTTCGTCATAAGTTCAWTGCAAAAGAGATGAGCTTTTAGGAGKAGGAMGAACACACAAYAACTACGGCRTGATTGCACTCTGCTTGGCGGATTAGTCTCTAGTCAGGTGAGTGACTCACAGACTCAGCTGGATGGAGACTGTCTCATGAGCGGGAGGTTCACCCGCAGCGGTTACTATCTGGGATGATATGCGAATCCCTCAATAGTATGACCTTTACGGATGGCTCCTGTCTATTGGTGGGGAGGTGCACCTGCTGGAAACTAAGATCGACTGGAGTGCCTCATGAAATGAAAAGATTGCCTGTTCAGCCTGCAGCATTAAACCACCACTACCTGCGAGACCCAGCAGAATAGCATCTTCTGGCAGTCTGGGAGGGGTAAAGCCAGGCCTATTGTCCCCACCGTGTGGGAAAAGGAGATCCTCCCAGGTAGTTGTGGCATAAGATGGAATGCACCTAAAGAGCCATGGCGAAACAGYACACATGCATTTGTCACACCAGAGAGTTTTCCGCTCTACCTACTGTTATATCACGCCATGGTAACCCTCACAAACACATCCACTAAACTGCATCCACGACCGTGGATGCAATGGTAATTTCGAGAGATTGGTTGTTCGTTGTTTTTCTTTCATTTCTCTTTCCCATCTTGCTGTTCAGAAGGTACTTGGGGGAGCCCTGTCATCAACCATTCACCATATTAACACTTCGTTTTATTTACTGATCTGCTATGCTTGTGGTTTGTCCATCCTTTTGGACAGTACTTTCTCTGTCTTCCTCCCGTGACTCAGCATCTAAAGGAAGCGGCACTACGCAGTCAGTGTGAGTGCTACCGCTAGTGGTGGGAGCGCTATTAGCTTGTCGGTGGCAGAAGAAGGATTCGGAAGCAAACTAGAACTGTACCCCCATAGTGATCGTTATTCATTGACTGTTGCTCTCATTCAGGATCAAAGGGTGCATGGTGGGAAACCGGTCTAGTGGGCAGTTCAGGTGGAATAATTCCATTTCACATTAAACCACCACTACCTTTCCCATATGTCGGCCGCGGGCATCTAGTAGCCTACTCCTGAAAAAATAGCCGCCACGCCGCCGTCGATATTTTTCATCGGCGGCGCGTGGCGGCCGAATTTGAATTTGAGGCCCGCGCCCCCATATGTGAGAAAGGTAGTGGTGGTTTAAACAGTGTTTTTCAGAAGGTACTTGGTTACTAAATAGTACACTAGGTTGGCTTAGCCTTTTGGTGGTCATATTTTAGTGTTTTGTTGGGGGGGATAAAGTTTTCCTGGTTTTCCTTTTTCTTTTTTTGGAAAACATTTTCCCTGTCTTCCGCTCACAAACATTATGGTCTTATAACTTATAAGGTAATACCGCGTCTACAGGCAGCAGCACCACAGAGGCAGTGTGAATGCAGCCATCAGTGGTGGCAGCGCTATCAGCTTGTAGATAGCATGAGAATGGTTAGGAAGCAAACTTTGATTGTGCCCATTGTGAACTTCATTTTTTCTTCGTTTTTTCCCCCCCTTACAATACCCCCTGCAGTACTAGTGCTGTTGGTAAAAGCAGGCAGCACTGGCACCACAAGAGAATCTCCATCTATTGGTTGGGAGCATCACCTGCTGGAAAACGGCTTCAGCGTCCCTTGGCCAAAGTGGGATTTGCGAAGGGAAGCCGAAGCTGGGTAATGGCCCCAGTACTTACCAGGTACAGCTCCTCATGTTCGTTTTCGTTCTTCTGTTTGTTGCACCAGCATGGAAATGGAATGAAATTTCATTGCATTAAAAAAAAAAAAAAAAAAAAAAAAAACCTTTGGCGGGTAGACAACAAAAGCGCAGGGACGTTGT